TGGGAACGCTGGGTTGAATTGGCCGAGTTCCATGGCGCTAGATCCAGATCGCATCGGCCGCAGGGACAGCAGGGGCACCCCAGTTCCCTGCCCTGCTGAAACTCGAAAGGGGCAGGGGCGCTGCAGTCGTGTTCGATGATGCGCGCGAGGCGAAGGGGCTTGATGAGGCCCATGGTAGCCCTATGCGTACCGCAACGAGGATCAGCAACATTGCGCCCGAAAGGCGGCGGTTGTTTTCCGTTCGTTCCCGGGCGCGGGCCCGCGGTTTCTCTATGGTTTCCCGCCGCGGGGGTGGCGGAGCTGCGCGGCTCGCGCGCCTGGTGCGCAGGTGGCAACTGGGGCTTCTGGGGTTGCAAATGGCGCGAGACAGAATTGTGCTCTGGCTTTTTTCCAATCCGTGCTTCTCCGAGGCCCCTCGCGGGGCAATGCTGCGGGTCGCCTTTGAGAGATGGGATAGGCCGAGTTGAGGAGCAGCGCGTTCCGCGGGGCCCTGGCGGGGAGCTCGTTCGCACGCCGCGCGACGCGGGCCGCCGCCCAGGCCCCGAAGAGGCGCAGTAAACCCGAAGAGGCGCACGCGGGGGACAGAGATCATATAATCGCCCAGAAAACATGCAGGCCCTATGCTGCAAAACATATGCGATGAGGTGTGGAGAGACGGGCGCGCCAATGAGGCCGCGCCTTTCCTGGGCCCAAGCGGCGCGGATTTTGTCGGGGAGGAATTGGAAGGACGCGGAAAAAAGGCCTCGAAGGCGTCATTCACTCACCCCCCTCAAAGAGGTTGGGCGCTCAGCGACGGCGAGGGGTCGCGCGGCGCCCCAGCGAAGGTGGAACGCGCCATCAGCGCGCGCGCAAGAAGTTTTTTTTTAATTGCGGCGGCGATCATCGCGATAACCTCGGCAGGATCTCAGAGATTTGCAGGATGCTGGGGGCGCGTGTTCTTATCTGCTGACGCTAGCAATAAAGAGCTGACAGTTGATGAGCAAGTTCCCGCCGCGCCCGCGCCCGCCCTGCCGTTGGCGTCCAGGAGGGGGCGCCCTGGTGCCGAGCCGCAGTCGGCTGGCCACCCAGGGGGGGCGGATGCGGCGGGCGCTAGAGATCAGCGCGCCATCGCGACAGCCGACCCGGCCGCCCGCGACGAAGATCCAGGGCGCGGGATTGCGGCCGCCGCGGAGAGCGACCGCGGTCACAAAGTTGCCTGGGCGAATGGGGCACGCGCGTCGCTCGGACAGCGCCCTTGATGGCGCATTTCGTTGTCCCCGCAGAGGAAATAATCCAGGGTGGGGCTGATAAAAGCGCCCGTGGTAGCGGAGATGCCCTGGGCGATTCGAGCGGTTGGTGGACCGATTCGGGCCGACAATCGGCGGCAGAATTGTACTGGTCGCGACGATGGAGCGCGGGCGACCCGGAGTACTCGGTGGGATGGCATCTCTTGTCTGCGAGTTCGAGCGCATCCATGGCAGCTCATGGCGCGACGATTCGGGTCGAGGTTTGGGAGGCAGCTCGCGGCGAACGAGGTCGACGCGTGACCTGGGGGGGCCGGCGGCGCCCGCGGACTCTGTCAAATGGCAGCCGAGGCCACGTCGAGCGACTGGGCTTTCGCCCCCGCTTCGTGAACATGTGCTGGCCGGACGGGCGGCGCTGTGAAAGCTTCTTTGGTTGGCGTCCCTTTGGCGAGGCGTGCTGGAGGCTGGCGCGCGAGGCGAAGTTGCCCCAGGCCCGCCGCGGTTGGGGTCGCTACCTTCGCTCCCTCCGCCTCTCTTTAACTTGCATGCGCATGCCCCTGCAGGCGTTTGGCTCGCATATGCGAGGGGAGGGCGCAGCTGCCGCTTTTGCGGACAAGAGGTGCGCGGGCGTTTCTCTGTCCGCGCGCGCACCACGCTGCTGTCGCTAACCGACGTGACGGAACATGACAGCTATGTCGGACGACATCGTTCATGACCCATGCCTCTACAATATCCACAGCAGGGAAGCCCCAGGGTTAGGAGATCGGAGCACAGGGGGCTCGTTCGTCAGGGAACGCCGATGTTCAGGCAAAAGACATTATGGGCGGACGCTTTGTTTGTTCAGCGCTTGTTTGGTAGGGCCAGTGCCGAGGAGAGGGGCAGTGATACCGAAGCGAGAAAAACTTTCGCCTGGCGACGAACCCAACGTTCGCTTAAACGCGTGAAGCCTTGAGGAATTTGCACTGCCCTGAACGCTCGCCAGAAACTGTCAGGCCGCACCCAACCCTCCACGTTCGATCACGCTGTCCTGCGACTCAAATCGCAAACGGGGTGGGGACCACTAAGAGTGTGAGGGGGGATCCAAAATTGCGCGGAGCGGCGCCATGCAAATGCAGCCATTGGAGCGTTCGGTTGCCAACCGAACGCTCCAGGGCTCAGAGCTCAGAGCCCAGAGTTCAGAACCGCATATGGAGCTCACATAGACGGCCACGAAGCGTGAGAGGGGTGAGCCGAAATGCGCGCGAGGACGTCATGCGAGCACGCCCGTTGCGGCCGTAGGTCGGGCTTCCTACGGGGCCACAGAACGTGCGAGGGTATGCCGACATGGGCACGGAATCGCCACGCGAGTGCGCCCATTGGGGGCACAGGTGGACCTAGTTCCCTGCAGGGCCCGAGACGCGAAAAGGGTGTGCCGGCATGAAACGCACTAAGCCACGCGAGCACTCCCATTGAGAGCGTCGGTTGGGTGCCCTGTGGAGCACGATGCGTGTGAGGGGTGTGTTGAAGTGGGCGTAAAACTCCATGTGGGTACCGAAGCGTGTAAAGCAAGTGACAACATTGCCGCGGGGACGCCATGCGAACTCACGGAGTGGGCTGTAGGTGGAGTTCATTACGAAGACAGGAAAGGAACCGCGTGGGGTGGCGTGCCGACACGAGTGCAGCAAAAACAGCACGAGTGGCATCGACAGGAGGGGAGAGGATAATGAGGGAGGACAGGGAGTTGGAGGAGGAGGAGGAGGAGGAGGAGGAGGAGGTGGAGGAAGTGGAGGAGGAGGACTACTGTAAGCCCAAGAGGCGTCATCGCCTCCCTCCAAGCTCCCTCTCATTAGCTCCTTTCCATGGGTTCGTGTCCACTGAAAGAACTGCCTCGTTGGAAGACAACCGTTTGCATACCCTGAAGCATGCCAGAACCTTACTCTCGGGACCCCAACGCCGCGGATCAATCAGACGGTTGCGTTTAGACGATCCTGAACCGTGCCAAAATGCCACTCCAAGGACCTCAACAACGCGAATGCACGTAGTTGTTGCGCCCACATAACCCTGAATCTTTCCAAAACGCAGTTTCTGGCACGTTAATCATGGAAACCCGTGAAATTCTGGTTTGTTTGAAGAGGACTGTGCGCGGCGCTAAGCCGAGAGCCACATTTTGAAAACGGCCTGCCCTCTATGTGCGAAACTGCTGCCAATGTTTGAGTTCCAGGGTCAGACAAGGTGAGGAAGTCTCAGGCGAAACGCCCGACCCGCCCTTTCGACCGGCGTCGGGGTGCAACAGGCAACAGCAATTCATACGGAACTGAATTGAAGGAGGAGGAGGAGGAGGAGGAGGAGGGGAAGGAGGAGGAACAGGAGGAACAGGAGGATCAGGAGGAGGCGCAGGCTTACGATGAGGACGATGGAAAGGAGGGGGGAGAGGAGGAGGATGAGAAGGAAGAGGGGGAGGAGGAGGAGCAGGAGGAGGAGGAGGACGACGACGACGAGGGGGAGGAAAAGGACGAGGATGAGGAGGAAGAGGAGGAGGAGGATGAGGAGGAGGAGGAGGAGGACGCACGGCGTTGCGGATTCAAAACGAGGACCCAACACACAGGAGGGTTTGAAAAAACGACGGCGTTTCTGAGAACAACTACGTTTACGCATACCCTGCCAGAAACACCCTACTCTGCCATCAGTCACCGCTGCCCCCCAGTTTCTCCTCTCCTTTTTTGGCCTGCCTGGAGCCTTTGACTGCGCCTGATATACCAGAGGCGGACAAAACGTTGTGCGCCACACGTGCTGGTCTGTTCCGCAATGTGTTGCTTGCACTTGTTCCGATCGCATCGTGTGCTGGCCAGTTCGTATTCACTCGACACGTGCATGGCCCTGCGTTCGGATCCTTGTTTTGAAGTTCTTGTCATGGTGCAATGGATGTTCGGCTTTGGATCCGTCACCGTTGTCACCATGATGCGCTGTTTCCCATGTGAGGCCTCGCTGCACGACTGAAAAACCGTGTTGCTTGTCTTGCGCGTTCTCTGTTTCCATACTTTGTGGCAATCGTGAGGAGGCCTTGGACGACAATGTTAGATGCGGTCCCCATTGAAGCTGGATAGTGCCAAGGGGTAGACACATGTATTAGCGTGAAGTCTCATGCTAGTCTGGAGCCAGAAGAGAAGGAACAGCAGCAGGACGAAGAGGGGGAGCAGGTTCGGCAGGTTCGCGCCGCCTGGACGCGGCGGCGACACCAGCGCGGGCGTAGGAGGTTGAACGCCCTCTCGGGTGTCTCGCTTCGGGCTGCGAGGACCCGCAGAAACCAACCCACGGCGTGAAGTCCAAACAGAATACTTGGTCGGCAGGCTCCAGGGGTTCTCCGGGAGCGGCGATCGTTCAAGGTTGAACGGCCCGCGCAGTGTCAGAGACCAGGGCACACGTCGTCAAGGCAGCAAACTGCGGTAGACCCTCACACCCTGCAGCGCAAACCTCCGGGAAGCAAACACACGATCCGTCGTGCCTCACCTAGATCGATTTTGCTTTTGGAGGCTCCGAGCATTCATCGAGCTCCGACGTCCAGGCCAAGAGCAGACCGCCGCTGCCCCTGGCGTCCCCCATCTGCCCCCCCCCCTCCGCCCGCACGTCGACCGCTTTTCCCGTTTCGGGGCTGGCGGGGCAATCGCAAGACCGACCGATCTTGGGCCCAGGACGAGCCTGGCCAGGATCGGCGAGGCGGCCGGGCGATGTCCCCCGATCCGGCGCGTCGCCAACAGCCGCGCGGGGGGAAGGGCCCCAGACCAGGACCGCCTTTGCCAGCCTCGGACCCTCTCAAGTGCGGCCGCCCTCGGGAGGCCCCGAGGGCCGCGCTCGGGCCGCACACGGCCAGCGAGGGCCGATGGCCGCCCTGGGCCGCCAGCGACCGCCGAGGCGGGGTCGTCGTCGTCGTCGTCGTCGTCGTCGTCGTCGTCGTCGTCGTCGTCGTCGTCGTCGTCGTCGTCGTCGCGACCAGGGCGCCCCGCCAACAGCCGCGCGCCCAGCCGCGGCCGCAGCCGACGGGAGGCCCCCCGTCCTGCCCCCTCGCGGGCCGCGGGCCCCCGCCGGGCCGGGCGCGCGCAGCGGGCCGCAGAGCGCGGAGTAGCGGAGTGGCGCGGAGGCCCCGGCACGGAGGGGGCGGGCTTGGGGGGGGGCGCGGGGGCGGGGGCGGGGGTGGGTCGCAGAAGAAAATCCCCATAAACATTAATTTCTGGCGCTCCGCGCGGATTTCTTGGATCTGCGCTGGGCCCCCCTGGCGGCGCCTCCGGCGCCGCTCCTCCTGGCGCGCTCCGCGCGCCAGGGAGGGGGGTACAGTGCAGATCCAAGAAATGTGCGCGGACCGTCAACATTTTATGTTTATGCCTTTGTTGTTCCTCTAGATCGGACGGGGTGGGGATAGGGGGGGATGCGAAATCGTCCGCGTGCAGCTGTTTTCTGCTCCGTCGCCGGGCGCCTCCCTCGATAAACCTTAGCGAGGCGCCGGGAACAAAAATAGCTGCGTGAGCTGATTCGTCCTGGCTCACTCGCGCCTCGCTCCCCCCCCGTGAGCAGGGGCGGGGTGGTCGGGGGGGGAATGAAGCGAGGGTCGAGGAGGAGAAGTCTGCACTGGCATCGATTTTCGGAGGTCCGTGTGTCGGGCCGGGCGAAAGGGGGGGATTGGGAAAGGGGGGGTTACGAAATTTGCTGCATGCAGCTGGTTTCGGCCTCACCGAGGGGCCCATTCCTCGATACATAGCCGCCTCCGGCGCCGGGAGGCGCCGGGAAAATCAGCTACGTGAGCTGATTCTCAAACCCCCCCTTTGCTATCCCCCCCTTTCGCCCGACCCGAGTGTGGATTTCTTGGGTCGGCGCTGGACCCCGTGGCGGCGTCTCCGACGTCGCCCCCTGGCGGGCTCCGTGCTCCAGGGAAGGGGGTCCAGCGCCAACTCAAGAGATCCGTGCGGACCTCCGAAAGTTTGATGATGCTAACTTCTGCGTTCTTCTTCTGGGTGAGGCGGGGAGGGGGAGGGAGCGAGGATCAGCGGTCGAAGGACGGAATGAAGCAACCTATCCGCCATAGGGGGCGCCTGTCCTGGGGCGGCTGGGAAGTTTCTACTCCCCACCTCGCCGTGGGGCTAAAAGCTTTTCACCCACCGCGGGACAAGCGTGCCCGAGTGCGGAACAGCTTGACTTACATTGGCCCTCGCCTTCTAAGAGTCAGGAGTGGAAAATGCACAGACACTAATAATCGCCAATCCCCAGGGGAAAATTAGAAACTATTGGAGGTGGGGGTGGGAAAACGAGGATTCAGACCATTTTCGAGCATCCAGAGCATTTACACATTCGCCTCGCGAAGGACTCCACCATATGCAGTTGTGGGTGCCGCAGATGTCATTATCGCCTTCGGAGGGCCTCCTTGCGGGACAACGGATCGTGTGAGGGGGTTGCGGAAATATTATGGCGGCGGCGGCGGCGGCGGCGACCGCGAGCTTGGGTCGCGAAACGCGTGAGAAGCGTGCCGAAATGAGCGGCGTGGACGCATGCAAACTGCGCCACTGGATCTTCGGCGGAGCTCCCTTTGGGGCCACGAAGTGTGTGAGGGGTGTGCCGACATGGGTGGTGGGGACGCATGTGGGCACAGCCATTTGAGCTTTCTGTGGAGGTCCCCCATTTGGCCACGAAACGTGTGAGGGGTGTGCTGACATGGGTGGCGCAGACGCATGTGGACACCGCCATTGCGGCCTTCGGTGGAGCTCCTTATGGGGCCACGAAGCATGTGAGGGGTGTGCCGACATGGGTTGCGGGGACGCATGTGGGCACCGTCATTGGGGCCTTCGGTGGAGGTCCCTATCGGGCCACGAAGCGTGTGAGGGGTGCGCCGCAATTTTGTGGCGGGGACGCATGTGGGGACCGCCACTTGGACCTTCGGTGGAGGTCCCTATGGGGCCACGAAGCGTGTGAGGGGTGTGCCGAAATGGGTGGCGGGGACGCATGTGGGCACCGCCCTTGGGGCTTTCGGTGGAGCTCCCTATGAGGCCACGAAGCGTGTGATGGGGTGTGCGGAAATGGCTGACTGGGACGCATGTGGGCACCGCTCTTGGGGCCGTCGGTGGAGCTCCCCGTGGAGCCACGAAACGTGGGAGAGGTGTACCGAAATCTGCGGCGGGGGCGGATGTGGGCACGGCCACGGTGCCTTCGGTGGAGCTCCCTCCTTATGGGCCCATGAAAGGGGGTGCCCGCATGGGGGGGGATGCCCGCATGGGTGGGGGGGACGCATGTGGACATTGCCACTGGGGGCTTCGGTTGAGTTCTTTGTGGGGCCACGAAACGTGCGAGGGGTGTGCCGGCATGGGTGGCGCGGACGCATGTGGGCACTTCCATTGGGGCAATCGGTGGAGCTCCCTGTGGAGCCACGCAACGTGTGAGGGTGTGCCAAAATGGGTGGCGGGGACGCATGTGGGCACCGCCACTGGGGCTTTCGGTGGAGCTTCCTATTGGGCCATGACGCGGGTGAGGGGTGTGCCGACATGGGTGGCGGGAACGCATGTGGGCACCGCCATTGGGACCTTCGATGGAGCTTCCTAGGGGGCCACGAAGCGTGTGAGGGGTGTGCTGAAGTAGGTGGCGGGGACGCATGTGGGCACCGTCGCTGGGGCCTTCGGTGGAGGTCCATATGGGGCCACGAAACGTATTAGGGGTGTGCCACAAGAAATGTGTAGCAACGACATATGTGGGCACCGCCGTTGGAGCCTTCGGTGGAGTTCCCTAGGGCCACGAAACGTGTGACGGGTGCGCCGAAGTGGGTGGCGGGGACGCATGTGGGCACCGCCACTGGACCTTTGATGGAGCTCCCTAGGGGGCCATTTTTGGCTCAAGCCATTTTGGCTCAAGTTGGCTCAAGACCCCTCAAAGACCCGTGTCCAGGACGCCTTCGAGACCCGTGCCCGGGAACCTATCGTTAATTTCGTAGCCCCGATGGCGTCCTCCAGCGCCGATGGCACACGTGTCCCTTTGAACCTTGAGGCTGAACTGACGAAAGTCCTGAGCGATGTCGGAGTCCAGCCCCCACCTCCAGGGCCTCGGATCACTCGCCTTGCAGGTACTCCTTTCCGCGACGTGCTCACCATGAACCCGTGGGAGAAGATGCAGTTCGCCCGCACGGGACAAGGACCCCACTCGCCACTGCTTGGCGAGGGAGCCGAACGAGAGCATGCAGAGGCGACCTGCTACCGCATGGCTGAGGACGAGGAGAAGGAGGAGGACAAGGAAGACTACAGATCCGCGCAGGAGCCGGTGACCATGGCAGCCATGGCGACACTCCTCCAACAGCAGCTCGCGCCAGTCACTTCGGCCGTGTCGCAGCTGCAGAATAAGTGTGCCAAGATGGACACCAACATCACATGGAGTCCCTGGAGAAGCGCATCACCGTAACCGACGTGAGGGTGGAGAAGCTCGAATCGATGTACGAAGACCTGCAGAAACACCTGGGCATGGACGACGACCGCTTCGAGAGTAAGATCCGTGAGTGCATTCAGAAATATGTGCATGAGACTCCTGCCCAACCTACCTCGAGGTCTCCACCGGGGGGGCGCGCGGACAGGCGGGCCTTGACGGCGGTCATGGGGAACCTTGACGGGCTCACTACATCGGCCCAATGAAAGTTCCTGGAATTTTCATCACGACGCTGGCCGGCGGAAGTCGACGGAAGGAAAACGAGGCGGAAGACGGGGGAAGGCCGCTGGAAGGCTTGCCAATGTCAGCGGAATTAAACGACGCCCCTTCCGAACCCCCTACCCCCCGTAGAAGCCTAGCAACGTTGTCTTCCTCCGTGGGCCGGGCGGGATCCCGCCTGGCTTATTCCGCTTTAATTTTATAAGTTTAGTTCAGGACGATCAAAATCTTACCCATTAAAAATGGGGTAGACCAAAATCCCGGGCCGTTCACGGATCCCACCATGCTGGGATCGGGTCGAAGTAAGATGGGGCTCATAAGTTGCAGTTGTATTGCCGTGTTGGGGTCGTCTTGAGGTCATCTTGAGATCGTATCCCTTTGGATCACGCAACCATCGCGTGGTCATTATGAGGCCACCCTGGGTGCGCTTGGATCCATCTTGTTGCCATCGGGTCATCTCGGCGTCACGCGTTGCTCATGTGTTTCGTCATCTGAGAGTCGGCCTGAGACGGTCCAGAATCCATGACGGGATCGCGTTGGGGTGGCATCATCCGGGGTCCTCTGGGCGTCATCGTCCGTGGCCTGAGGCATTCCTGGAAGCATGTTGTGGCCATGGGGCGTCTTGGGATCGCGTGCGTGCGAACGCTGAGCACGCGCGCGCGACTTTTCATCTTGCCGACGGGTTTACATGCATAGCATTCTTCTTGCGAGTTTCCAAGGAAACTTTTGTTGGAGCCAAGTAACCTGGAGGACGCGATGACCTGGGCCAAGGACAAGCTGCAATCCTTGGGCGCCCCCATGCCCACGAAGATCTACAGCAAGGGCGAGTTCAAGGGGGTCCTCTTCGCGGAGTTCGTTTCTTCGGCTGAGCGGGATCTTGCTGTTGAGCTACTCCGACGCGCGGGCCTGCACAGTGGCCAGAAGCGTGTCTGGGCCAGCCAGGATAGGTTCCCAGCAGATCGCGCTGCCAGAAACTATTGTTTCGCACTCAAGCGCCTTCTCATGACGGAGTGGACCGTCCCGCACGCCATCTCCATCACGGAGGAGGCCCCGTAGATCATGACGGTAGGCGGGGAACATGCTCTGGCAGTGCATGTGTCTTCAGACGGCGTTGTTCACGAGCGGCAGGGGGAGTGGGCTACGTGGAAGGAGCTGCACGACCACGCCGCCGTCGAAGAGCTGGGGAAAACGTGCAACGACCTGCCGGCCCGGGCGCCCGCCGACATGAAGGGGGCAAAGAGCAT